TACCCAACGGTCGCTCCCCTCACGCCTGCCCCGAGGCCCTGAGAACGGGGCCCCTCTGCAGCCCCGGCCCGGAGTTCTCGGCCTAAATCCCCGCGGCCTCCTGTAAGGTTAGGCCCGCACCTCGCCTCTGGTAGCAGTCGCATCTTTTGTTTGCCCTAGGTGGGTTTCCTCTATCACCTAGCATTTATTTCTGTTTTTTTTCCCTAAGCTTTAGACACACACAGGGGAGTTGGCGGTATATTTGAGTTAACGTTTCTTGAAAATGCTCCTAAAAGCTGCTCAAGCGCCGTTGCTTGGRGAGCCGTTGATGGCAAGCAAGGTAACAGCGCAGTTTCATAACGGGAGGTGACTGCACAGGGTGAGCGGCGAGGCAGCGCGTTCCGGAGAGGGGTTCGTGCGCCCAGCCCGCCCAGGGCAGCGGTAGGAGATGGGTGACACCTGGCGGCCAGTCCTGCTCCCTGGGCTGGGTGCAGGCCTCCCTCCCCGGGACAGGCCAAGGGCAAAATGAACGATGTGTTTCTGCACCCTAATGCGAGTTGAGGGAGATGTACGTGTTATACAGCTTGTAATAAGCTGCAGAGCTGAGGTCGGTGCTCTCCACATGCCATAGATCATCAGAGCAAGGTTATGCAAAAACAAAGTCAAATAAATGGATGTGTTTTTGGTGACAGTGCCCAAAAATCTTTGCTAATATTTGATGCCATTCATATTCAGTTTTTCCCCGCATAATAGGAAACAGTCATGTATACAGTGCACGCTGAGGGACACTGTGCCCATAAACATCTCCACAAAGTGCTGTGCAATTTGCCGTTTCGCTTTTCACCCAGCAACACTCTATGACCGTGCCTTCCCATCTGGAAAGTCTCATTGGGATTTGATGAGAGATTTGGAATTTGAAATTTTAGAAGGCATCAAGTGATCAAAGCCTCGACTCTCTTTCTGTACAAGAAATGAGTAATTTTGTGATTAGTGCTGTTTGTGGAATAGGCTCTTGCCGCAGAGAAACAAAGCAGGTTAAATGATGCACTTTGATTCTTTTCCATCTATTGTGCTTATAATTTAGGGAGCTCAGATGAAGGGGCTGAACCAACACCGTAGTCACTGTTGGATGAGATTCTCAGTGCTGCCCCACACTCAGCACAGAGCTCCTGCTCTCAGATCATCTCCTGCAGCCCATTGGGGAGCAGCAAGGCCCAATGCGGGGCAGGAGCCACATCGGCAACAGGGCCCAGAGCAGCAGCTCTCTGGGAGAGCAGTCAGGCTCAGCCTCGAGCTCAGACATGGACTTGCTGTGCAGCAATACAGGGTGTCTCCCGAGGGTTCCTTGTCTGTGCCAGGAGCTGCTGGGAAGCAGACTTTGGTTTTCCAGACTTTGCAGGTCGTTCCAGACTTTGCAGGGGTGGTTGTGCTCCACTGTGTGACACCACAGAGACTTCCCAAATGTCATCCCATACAGCACTGCAAACAAACACAACCTGTGAGCCAGCGTGTGGTGACCAAAGGAGTTTAATTGCTGTGTGTGTCTGCGTGGGGGGAAACACCTAACCATTCTTGAGTTTACTCAAGACCCGCTGAGTTTACTCAATGTGTTAACTCCTGTCTGTAGTCTTTTAAACTTCAAATGCCACTCTGAGAGACAGCATTTTGTGTTGATCTGTAATTTGGTAAAATACAATTATTTATAAAAACATAAATTGTTTATAAAAATCTGCATAAAGTAAGGACAGAGGGTTTTAGCTATACTCATTGTGAGGATTGTCTTAATAAGCAAGAAGAAAATTATATTCTGATAGACATACACATCACCTGCTGATGCTGTTCTTGTGTTTGATTCCATATCCAGAAGTTGCAGCTACAGCCTTCTCCTTAGTGGGTAATAACAACTCTCRTTGCCTGTTCTTGGGCCATGTCACAGACTCAGACTAGGGGAAGGCTCTGGTAGACCAGGTTAAAATATCATTTGTGTACTAAAATTTGCTTGCGTACTGTGGACTCATAGTAAAGGACAGAAGTAGTCCTTGAAAGGGTTACAATAGGTCAGTGGAACTATTTAAGGAATGTCTGTGTTGACTGACTATTCATTTGCATTTCTCTATACTGATTTTTGATGAATTTTGATTAATACTAATAATGCTAGTGCTTATTTTTATGCTTATTAGCATAAAATGGACTGCACAGAATTTACCAGGACTAACTTCAGAATTACATAATACCACCTTTAAAGCAGTCTACCTGTTGAATTTTCCATCTCTGTTTATTCTATTATTTAACAAATTATTTATTATAATAATAAATTACTGTCTTGAAGAGAATGGAGTTCATGTTACAAGAACTGGAGCTAACTTGCAGACAATTCCTACAAACCACTTCTCTAAGGGAAGTATGCGTAAGYGGAGACTGCAGATATTATCAAAAAATTTAGTTTATCTTTCCTAATAGAAAAAAAAAAGTACAAAATATATCTTATCTATATGAGATGGTGCAACATAGGTTTTAAAAAAGAAATCCTTCTTCTGAAGTTGACCATATGTGATGTTCCTGCCTTTATTCCCATTTTTGTCTCAGGCAGATACACACACTGTCATATAATTTTATACTCCTAGAATGAGCATAGTTAGCACTAAGGAACTAGATAGAACTTGCATTATAATCTGCATCTCATTCAAAGTCCTCTCTGGAAGGTCTCCATCYCTTCTATGTAGGCAAGTGTTTCTTTACTTCCTTTTATAAAACCCACATACTTTTCTCTGAATAATATGTAAGTTGCCAGCTTTGCAGATACCAATGGACTCTTTGGTGAGAGGCTGAGTATTGTGTTATTAATGTTCAACATGTCTTTAGTAAAATGGAAAAAAGAGAAGAAGAAAAAGGAGAAGGAAAAACCCTCTGAAATGTGAAAGAGATAAAATTTAAAAAAGACCTTCTTGAAAGCTATCTTTGTCTCTTCTTTGCCAGATATAGCTGTGTCTTGAGGCTTCCAATATATGCTTTTAAAGCCTTCTATTTGATGTCTTCCTCAGTTTTATTGATACAAATGAATTTACTGCAAAATGATAACTGACTCCAGCCTCTGTGCTGGAGATCAGAAAACTTATATAGACTTATTCAAGAWTATATCTTGCTTTTTTGTCTGATTGCTTTGATCTTTTTGAGCTTCATCTATGTTTTGGAGGTTTTTTTTTTTTTAAGTACAGCAGAATATATTTCCAATATTTTTCATATTCAACACAGTATTCTGATCACAAAGTGGGAGCTTAAAGAACACCTTATCTCTTTCTTTTACTTATTCACAACTTAAAGTTGTGATAGTATAATCTTGTTTTAACTCTGGTTAAATATAAAAAAGTAGGAAACAGAAAATGCAATTATTYGGGTAAAATGCCTGCTTTTTACCTGAATTTTACCTACTTTAGGACTTTGCAGTTTGTCTTTAACTCTGTCTTTCCCCGTGTTTTTATGGATTTAAAGAATTCATTCAGATTTTTTAAAGGTATTATAAACTCTGCCCAATATAAAAGAGCAAACCCATAAATTATTAATTGACCCTTTCCTTTGGAGACTTTATTATGCCTTGTTAATAATTGTAACAACTGCCTATAAAATTTTCCATCTCAGGAAAATACTGATGTATATGCCAACAGATCTTCCCATTTCCACGGACCTTGTAAACATCAATCTCAATTGTGCAGAAATTTCAAATAACCTTTGTGTTATCAAAAATGAAATGAATTTTGGAAAAACAGTAGTAAAATAGAAAACAGAATTAGACATATAGAATCACTTTTGTGCTCTGGATAGTGTTTCCCTTTATGATCTCTCAGGATTTTGTTTTGAGAGCTTGCTTTTCAGCATATTTGTAATAGATCTAGAAAGAGAATGAATACTGGGGTGACGATTGCAGATGCTGTAAACTTGCTCAGGATAATAAACGCTGAAGCTCATTGCAAAATGGTGCAGAAGGATACTGAGTTATGATGTGGTAGGAAAATGCAGATGAAATTCAATTTTGGTATTACTTTGCAGAATAAATGCAAAATTAAAAAAAAAAGTGACTCTGATTATATAACCAAATGGTTTTTGAATGTTGTTAATCAGGAAAGAGATTGTAAAATTATTCTGAAGAGCTTATGAAAATATCAGTTCAATGTTCAGCAGTGATCAGAAGAACAGAATATTGGAAATTATTAAGAATGAGTTTGAGAACAAAACCAAAAA